GACACTAAACGTTCCATGACCTTCGAACGAGGAAGTACTCCCATCAGCAAGGACCATCTTTTCTTGTACTCTCTGAAGTTTTGGGCAGTTGGCCATCTGTTCAACGATGCTTGACTTTACGATTGTGATATTTGCGCCAGAGTCAATCAGAAATTTGACAGGCTTCCCTTGAACACACCCTTCCACGTAAATTTCATCGCCGCAGTCTTCCACTCTTCCTGACTTCACAGCTGGTGCTTTGGGCATCTGTGTTCCTGTTGTCAGGTGTGTCAGGTTTATGCCCGTTGTCCTGACAGGCTCTCGTTTTCCGTCATCTGGTTCTCCTCGGTAACTTTGGACTCTGTTTGCTGTTGTCTCCTTCGCTGTTGCCATGGTCGTCGTTTTCCTCCGTTTGCTTGTGTGGCGGTTTTACTCTGCTGCGCGGCCTCTGGGCAGTCACGTCGAAAGTGGTCTGGCGCTCCGCAGGTGAAACAGCCTTCTTGTCGTCTACGCTCATGTGCTTTCAGTTGCTTGATCTGTGCCTTTAGAGCTTCCACCTCGCTGGCCAGGTCAGTCTCTCTGCTACTTGTCTGCACAGCCCTCAGGTGTGGTCCATTTTTCTGTCTGTTTGCTGCCTGGAACGCCTCTAGCTCAACTGCAATGTCCAGTGCCTGGTTGATGGAAGTTGGTCTTGATCTTCCACCTCGTATCAGTGTCCTCCAATGCGTCAACAAAGGTATCTTTGGCTAGGACCTCTCTCAGCTCCGCGGGGACCTGGGGATAAGCGTTCCTTGTCATTTTTCGTATTGCTTGTGCCAGCTCCTGGAGCGTTTCGTTTCTTTTTCTCGTCCTTGTTTTCAGCGCTGTTCTATACATTTCCGTTCGATTTGCTGTTCCAAAACGGGTGGACAATGCTTGCGTGAGCTCTGCGAAGTCTTTTCTTTTTGTGACGGATATGTCTGCCAACACTTCCCTTGCTGGGCCGGATAGGCTTACGGCGAGATAAGTAGCTTTGGTTTYGTTCGACCAAGCGTTCAGGTCAGCAACGAGGTGAAATTGTGCGAGGTAGTCCTCYCACGATGTGTTGCCGTCAAACATGGCTGKTTTGATCTTTGGTTTAGACTCGGGTKGCTTTACTGGGGTCTTCTTTGCCGGTATTTCGATGACATCGAACATACTGAAGGAGGTCGTCTGGGTCGTCATCCAACTCGTCGGGATCGSGTGCGAATTTGACCCTTTCTGTCTTTTCTCTGATGCTTGGTCCCTGSCTGAGTTCTGCCACTTTGTGTTCCATTTCTTCTAWTTTTTTCTTGAATTCCCGGTTTTGCTGTCCAATCATGTTTGTTAGGTCTTCGAATGCGGTTGTTAGGCTCGCTATGCCGCTGTCGACGTTTTCGGTTGGCGGTTTCGGCGTTGACKTTCCTCTCAGCGTTGCCGCACACGCCATCTCGAGTTCCTCCGGGCTGAGGTCTAGGWGACTTCCAAATTGAACTTCACTTCGGCTTGTCTTGTCCATTTTTTTTTATCCACAGAGCTGCCACCAATGTAACGTGTAACGTAGGGGTTCGGCGAGGCGAAGTCAAAAGTACGACTTGAATCGATAACTAGAAGCTTTATTGATCGACCGTGTTTACAACTCCGGACTTAACTAACTTCACAAGAATATCAGTCCTATATTTATACTAGTTCTAAGCTATTTCTAGAAGGTGATTACAGGGTTTATTGCGGAATAACCTACGTCAATTAGTACGTGAATTACACTCCTAAATATTGCGTTATTTTTACGTACACGGTACTAAAATATGACCTGCTAGCCGAGGTGGCTTACTAGTAAAATAACAACCAAAATATAGGCTTACCCCGACGGTTGGAACTAAATAATATGTCCTAGAGACCTTACATGTATAGTATGGATTGTTTAAGTCCTATAAGAATCGATAATGTGATAGAACAAAAGGCAAATTAGCGAGACAAAGCGATTGCACTCAAGCACAAACAAAAGTGCACCAAACTATGTCGAACAATGAAATATGTGATTAAAAACTTACAAGTAACTTACAAGTAACAGGTTAACTTCCAATGACCAAAAGATTAGCACAGGATGGCCTAATATAATCTCTAAAATCCAGCGATTCTCGCATAAAATGTTATGATAATAATTCGTCCAAAAACAAGCATGGAGAGAACCTCGGCACCAGGCCCTCTCACATGAACCACAGGGAGCCCATGTCACATACTTCCCTGCTTTGAGGTTGGAGACTCTACAACCTATGTCTTAAATCAAATTACTATTTCTAAACTAAGGTCTTAAAAAATAGCCTTTTTCAATAACAGTAACAAAAATAATAATATAACTAATATATCTCGTGTGTCTATAAGAGTGAAATGTCTCTTCTAATGTTCATTGTAACTTGTTCTTCCATTGGAGGCCTTTGACATCAACTGTAGTAAGAGCAAGTTCGACTGAGCAATAGAACTAAGAATTGTTGGGTCCAGCGAAGCAGTAGCAATGTCCTGTACGACAGCAGATCTTGGTAAGTTGTGGGGGTTGGAATGCTGACCAGCTCCTTGTCTTGTAGAACGCCTCAAGGTGGGTTCTGCATCTTCTGTACTGGTGTTTTCTCCAAGTGGACAACTCACTTCTGGTTGTGCATCTGTAGCAGGATGGTCTGCATCGTCAACTGTCGGTAGTGGTACTGATTCATCAACATCTTCTGGAGTGGTAACCTGTGAAAAGAAATCTGGAGTCTTGAGCA